TCCCTACGGGTAGACAATTTTGGGAGACCATTCTAGGGTTTCAAGAAGCCTCCATCCGCTGATAAGGAAAGTAATTTGAATCACGTTAAAATTATATTATTTTAATGTTTAAATTAGAGTTTCATCCAACTATAAATAGGTACCTATTAAAGGATTAAAAAACCCTAACAACTCATTGTGATTTTTTTTAATTCTTCTTCCTCTGTGTGTGTGTGTGTGTGTTTCGAAACAACACAAAAAATACTCAAGGTAAGCTCAAAATGCATGCAAGATGTTTAGGGTTTTGATCTTAGGGTTAGATAGGATGGAGGCTGAAGGAAATAAGGGTAGGGGTGAGTTAAGGTGTTTAAATAGGGTCCAAGACCCAAAAATTAGGGTTTAGTCTGCCCAGACGAACACAACACATTACCTTTAGGAACGGAGGGCGTTCCCATATGCACTCGCATCCATTTTCAGTTCTACTGGTAATTGTAGGTTATTTAGGAATAGGACCTTCTAGAATGTACAATTTATTATATCTCTTAAGATTGTCTCTTAAGATACGAATCTATTGGATAATATACCCATCGAATGTTATTGTTTGGCATAGATCAACAAGATTAAGCTGATGCCTGGTAACGAGATTGGATTTAGTTCTCATTTACAAAATTTAACACAACTCACTTAGTATATTCAATGTTTTAAACATTTAATAAATAATACCATTTTTTTTCCTTAAACATTAATGAATTTGAGTCTAGGATCCAACACTCCAAATCAAATAATCGGTTAGGTGACATGTACCTTGTTATTTATTTCAATAAGTGAGGTAGCGATTAGTGATTACATCCAAATGTAATTCCTAGTTATATGAGATCCTTAACAACCTTTTGTTAATTGACATGTTTGATCTCATCTATGCCTCAAGTTTCTAATGCTTAAGTGACATTTATCAGAAAGGATTCCCGATCAAGTCATCCATCTTAAAAGGAATCTAGAATCGGCATCCTACTGGAAATTACAAAATCACCTCGAACATCAAAAGATAAATCCAAGTGGTGTAGTGACCTTTATCCAAAAGGACATATTGTATCATGTATATTGCATGCATCCAATAATAAATAGTCCATTTTAGAAATATCATCTTTTATTTTATTTGTTCATCTTAGTTCAACTTTTAATATCTTGTATTAACTTATGAGTGTGTGTGTTTGGAAGCAATATTAGTCTTTTAATAACCTTATATTATTTTAGACTTGGCGTTTGTCATGAGTTTTAAAATCTCTATTTTAACAAATTTATCTTATTTTCAAAACTTTAAGATTCTAGAACAAATCTCCCTTTTATGTGAAAATCCGATTTTAACATCTTATGTATAAAAAACTTATTGTTGTGAAAATAACAAACTCCATGATGATATGTTTTAGTTATTTGGTTGTCCAGCATGTAAGATCCTATTTGCATCCATATAAACAAAATAACAATATAGAATCATCACACATAGACATGAGTGCATAAACCAAGTTATAACTATGTGATATTTCATGTGAGCTATATATGAAATATCAAGTTCTTTTCTTAAGGGACATTAGGGACCAAAAACTTCAAGAAATGTTGTTGAAGTTCCCACTTGCAAAGACATCCAATGTATGCAAGATGATGAATTCTCTACTAATTCTAAATTGTTCTAACAACATGCAACACTTCACAAAAAGATAGGTTTGGGGTTATTGCTTCAGGTTCACGAAATCTGATGCAACACGTTTAGCAACACTTCAGATAAAATGTGGTGTTTTCCATTGCAATTAAAATAAATAAATTCCAACGTTTTTCGATCTTCAAAATATCTTCATCTTAAGTTCTTGTTACACTTTAAAGTACCTATACTAGATTACAAACTAATGTAATATTTACAAAAGATAAAGTACTTATACTCAATTACAAACTCATCTAATATTTACAAAGTAATATAATGAAGAAATTATTATTTACTATTACAAACCATTTGATTAAATAAATAATATTACAACCATATTGAAAAATTCCAACAACATTCAACACATGGTCTGTGGTTTATTGATGCACATACAATCATTCAAAAATTATCAAATAATATTATGTTTTTCTAAAGCAACATAAACATGATCAAATGCATGTGTGTGTCTATATATATATATATATATATATATATATATATATATATATATATAAAATAAAAAAACTTTGATAACATATTATAATGAACTAGCATTGCACGTTGCCAAATAAGTCATGCATGAACTTTTCATACAACATGAAAAGCATCCATGGCTTCCAAAAAAAAAAAAAAAATTTTCATTTCATCAATAAAATATATGCATGCATGTAAATAAGGCTATGATACCATTTGTTGGGTTTTTGTTCCAGTCGATATTTATAAATCATAAAATCAAGAGATTTTGCAACGGAGTAATTATTATATTTTTTATAAAATACTTGAACAAGGAGAAACCACCAAATGATCATTTTACATGAACGTGCAAGATTAAATGAAGCAACCATATGGATTTTATGGATTACAACATTTGAAGCCTTTAAATCCACTCAGGAGGTTTGAATGTTGGTGAAGATGAAAAGAAGGCAATCGAGACTTCATCTATAGAGATAATCCACCAAGAATATTCCAATACCACTAAATGCTAGTCCGACTGTTGTAAAATACAAGCTCTTAAGCTTGAAGTACCAAATCCAAATTTTGTCTTCAAGAGAGTTATTGTATTTTCTTTCATTTTACTAAGCCTTTAGAGAGAGGAAAGAATATATGTATGTATATGTGTGTCAAATTTCGTCCCACGAGGTTTTTATAACTATAAAACCCAATCCTTTTATCATTAATCTCTTTCTAAAAGTCATTCAAAGCAATTATGGGTCTTTAACCTTTCAAGAACATGCATTGGAGGAACTAAAAGGCAAGCAAACCTTATTGGACCTTCTTAAAAGGTTTAATAAGTTTAGAAGGTTGGTGAATGAAAATTTAAGAGGAGAGAGAGTGAGAGAGTGTCTAACACTCTTACTTTTATATTTTATAAAAATTACTTTAGCCTCTTTATAGAGTATAAACTCCAATCTTTTTAAATAACATTTGTATTTATATATACATATAAATATAAACGATTTTATATATGTACATATATATATATATATATATATATATATATATATATATATATATATATATATATATATATATATATATATATATATAATTTAATTTAATTTTTATATTGAACATATTACTGAAATAGTCCCTATGCTTTGGCTAAAGTTGCGTGTTTGGTCCTTATGTTTTGTTTTGCACTCAGACTATCCCCACGTTTTCTTTTTATTACCTGCCTGGTCCCTGGGTCCGTTAGTCGTCAATTCCAACGTTAAGTCCCCCCCACGTGCTTCACACATGAGGGGTATTTTAATCATTTTATATACAAAATCTATTAGAACACCCTAAAACCTGATTCTCTCTATTTTCAAATACGCCCTTTCTTCGTCTCTTTCATTCCCACTTCTGTGAAGAGTCGATCAACCCTAATGGAAAAAACCTGCAAGTGTGGTCAAGTTGGTGTGATACGAAGATTGACTACCAAGAAAAACCTTGGGAGACTTTTCTATTGTTGTATTGGGAAGGTAAGGGCAATTTCTTCTTAAGTATATCTATATATCTCATGCCTTTAACACACAACAAATTACTCAAAATGCAGGGAGAAAAATGTGGTTTCATAGATTGGGTTGATGAGGAGAACTTTAATGGTGAAAATAGTAAAAAAAGTATCTCCCCTGATTTGCAGAAGTCATTGGACGAGCTTCAACATGAGAATAGGGCCTTGAGGCTGTTATTAGTGTTCAATTGGGTTTTTTTTGTGTCAGTTTTAATTTATAAGCTTTAATTTATGCTATCAATGTACTTATCTTTTGTTTAATCAGGGCAGTAATGTAATTGAATGAAAATGTATGAATGACTAGAATTGTCTATTGGAATGCAATTTTCTTTTGGAATGGAATTCATTATTTTATAATGGAATGGAATTTAGTGTTTTGTAATGGAATAGAATTGAGTGGTTTGTACTGGAATGCAATTGACTATTTTATAATGGAATGAAATGGAATTTAGTGGTTTATAATGGAATGGAATTTAGTGGTTTGTACTAGAATGCAATTGACTGTTTTATAATGGAATGGAATGGAATTGACTGTTTTACAATGGAATGGAATTGAGTGGTTTGTAATGGAATGCAAATGATTGGTTTTCTATTGGAATGAAATTGAATTGAATTGAATTGAATGATTGAATAGAATTAAATGGTATTGAATTAGAATGAAATTGAATTGAATGATTGATGGAATTGAATTAAATGATTGAATAGAATTGAATGATTGATGGAATTGAATTGAATGAGTGAATAGAATTGAATTAAAACAAAAACATAGCAAAAGATTATAGCACTAATTGTTCATACCGTAATTGAAAATAGAGATACATTACAAGTCATACCATACATAGACAACAGATCCCAAAAGTCATACGATAATTGTTCATAACATAGACATAAAACATAATGACAAATATAACAAACGCAAAAGATCATAACACATACACAAAATATGATAACACAATCATAACTTAAGCAATACTTTTCCCTTTCTTCCCAGCCTTCCTTGTCCTGCTTGAAATTCCATCACATGCACTTTGAGTTCCACTTTTCCTACCACCACCTGCACTTTGAGCTTTCTTCCCAACATTCCCTTTCTTGCTTGAAGTACCATCACCTGCACTTTGATCTTTCTTCCCATCCTTCCCTTTCTTGATTGAAGTACCATCACCTACACTTTTAGCTTTATTCCCAGCCTTCCCTTTCTTAATTGAACTAGCATCACATACACTTTGACCTTTGCAGCTTCTTTTATTATGACCAAGCTTTTTGCATTTTGAACATGTCACACTCTTATCCTTCCTTGATGTTGTACCACCCTTCACCATATCTTCTAATTCAATAGTTGACTTCCTTCTTTTCTTCCTTGGTCTTCTGATGGGGACATGATGATTGGGAGGGAGCAAAGTGGTTGGACATGGAAACTTTTTCCCAAATTCTTCTTCCATTCATTGGTTCAATCTTGAAAGAATACATTTCCTTCCAAGTTTTTAACCAGTTCGTAGAATGAACCCATTCTTCAGGTACGCCAACATTCTGCTTATTTTTTCTCATGTCCCATATAGCAACAAGGGCATGTTTACAGGGTATACCAGTGAGTTCCCATATTCTACAAGAACATGTATGTTGAACCATGTCTACCACACATTGGTCCATCCATGGACCACTCACCTGATATTTTCCATTCCCACATAACTTACCCACACATTGAGCTGCATCATATTTGTTTCTTTCAAGCACACTTGTTGCAGTTGGAGTTAATGGTCCAACAACCTTATCAATTACCTTTTGGACACTCACAATCCTTAACATAAGGTACTCTCTAATGTACTCAAGGCAAGTGATAATTGGTTGGTCATGTGCTTTCTTAATTTGATTATTTATGGTCTCACACAAGTTATTCAGAAGCCCATCACAATGAGCTCTCCCTATAATATAAATAAAAAATTATGTGAGAAAGTGAATCATTTGGTAACAATTAACCCAACAAAATAAAACAAACCTGCGAAGTGTGCCCTAGACCAATGTTGAGGTGGAATAGCTTTAATGCATTCATAGCAGTCATTGTTTAGCTTTCTTAACTCTTCCATAGCATGGTTGAATTCTTGTATTGTTGTTGTACTTGCACAGTTCCACAACATGTCCTGAAACACCTTTCCCCTCCATATTTTCTTCATGTTTTCATGAATGTGTTGCAGACAAAACTTTTGTTCTGCACATGGATACAATGTACCAATTGCTTGCAACAAGCCCTGTACAAAAAGTAAACAAAATTAGATGTAATGTATACAATGTGCAATAAGAACCAAGTCCATTGAAATTACTTACCTTCTTCTGTCAGATATAAAGGTAAAGTTGGAATTAGCTTGCAAATCAATGTCATCACCCAAGCACCTTAAGAACCAAGTCCATGAATTTACATTCTCGGCCTATATGACAGGATGTGTATAATTATTTCCATCAAGACCCTAAACATAGTGAAGGAGTTGATAATTTAAATAAAATGGAATAAAATGACACAAGATACGTGTTTACATCTTACCACTATTGTGAGTATCATTCCAGGATAAGGCTCTTTCATAAAAGTCCCATCCAAACCAATGTAATCTCTTTTACCAGCTAGAAAAAATTTCTTTAATGGCCCTAGACAGATGTAGATCCGTTTGAAAGTTCTAGTCTCAAAAGTTGGGTTTGGCTCATTTTCGACCTCTATCTTAACTGTTGTCCCTGGGTTTCGAGTGTGAAGTTCTTGAACATAGTCTCGTAGTGTAGTATATTGCCCTGCATAATATCCCCTTACTTGATTCAATGCTTATGTTTTTAGCCCTAAATACCTTCATCTTCAAAATATCTACCTGGTATACACGTTGAAGTTGTTCTTGTAAAGCTCGTGTAGGGACTGTAGGGTTGCTTTCAATCTGCTGCACTATTTTCTTTGCCAAAAACTTGTAGGTACAAGCCTTCACATTTCTTGTTTGTAGACATCTATGCTTTTTTCCTAGGTCTTGATCTCCTAGTCAACATCTTGTTTCCACTTGCTAGCATAAAGTACCCATGGACACTTGTTTTCTTCAGTTTCTTTATTTCTTTGACTGGGCCCACATGGATCAAGTTGACCAAGGTCTGGGATAGCACCTTTACAAATTGCTCTCACTCTGTTTTTGTCATTTCTTATAAAGTCTAGTTCCCTCTTTGTCTCCACAACATGTTGTCTTATTGCATCTTTCAATTCTTTAGATGATGTGAATTTTTGGTACACATAGAATGGATCACTAAAGGGGTGTTTGATATTGCTTCTAATTGAGTCCAATAGGGGACCCGGTCCAAAAAAGAAAAAATAGGGTGTTTGATTTTGTTTTTACCAAGGTTGCAAAAATCGCTCGACGTTGGCTAGTCGGTAGACTGGGGTTAAGCGATTAATCGGCTAGGCGGAGATTAATCGGGGGATTAATCGGGTACCATTAATTGCTAATTTATTGGATTTTAGAAAAAAGAATATGACTAATATCATATCAAAGTTCGTAAATACCACTAATTTGATAACAAAATATGTTAATATGATTAATACAACACTAATCATGCCTTAAATAGTTTCCATTGAGATAAAATTTCTTCAAAATGTTAAAATTTCATCGTTTTATAATGTTTCACTCATTATGTATACAAGGACTAATCGCTATGCGCCCTTTAATCGGTCGAGTAACGCCTAGGGATTAATCGGAGATTAATCGGGACCTAGTCGGGATTTTTACAACAGTGGTTTTTACAATCAAGGACTCAATCCAAGCTATGGACTCAGTCCAAGAAAAAGCGATGATTCAGTCCTTCCCTTTGAATCGTTGGACTGGGATGTTGGTTATGCATTTACCGATTTTAGCCTACGTTGACAACCTTCACAGAGAAAAGGCAACGACGACCTGCTCCCCACCCTCATCTGCTACTCTTCCGTCGACTTTCTTCCTCCGACCGGTTAACCGGAGACAAGTACATCTTGCATTTTCTCGTTTTTTATTGTTTGATTCTTGCTGAAAAGTTCAACTTTTGCTGTGATTTTCGACTTTGTTCTCCTTCTTTTGGTTCTTTTCGATTTGTTGTGCTTGTGTGCTATAATGGATTAGTTATTTGCTCTTTTTCTTTCTCGATTTTTACTATGAAAATAGGAAAGAAAGAGAGATATAGAGAGAATCAAGAGAGAAAAACCATAGTCAATGATTTTTTGTGATCAAAGATGGCTTTACTCTTGTCCTTTTCGTGTTTTTGTATTCCTGGACATGGTTAGAGAAAGTGAAAAAGTGGGATGTGTTCATTTGTCGTACAACAAAATATTAGATGATTGATTTGTGATATTGTTCACACCATCACTCTACCCATTAGACCAAAGTGATTATTAACCAGCACTGGTTGGCACAGGCTTCTATAGCAATTTTGATACAAGATTTCATCAAAAGGAAAAAGGCAACATAAATGGGTGGATACACTGTACTTTGGTTCAAATTAACTTGGGACAAGAAGCAATGTTTCTGCAGAAGGATTCAAGCCTTTTAAACAAAAAATGATGTTGGGATTAAACAGTTTGTTTAGTTCTTAGTGGAAAACAACCCCTGTTACTATCTTCTTTGTTACAATGAAAGTTTTTGATGAAGATGAAGTTTGAGATGAATTTCCAAAGTGATGTATGAAATCAAGTGAAAATATCTTGGTAAAATTGTAAATGTATTTTGTATAACAGTTTATATTTGGATTTTAAATAATGTATGTTTTATTTAGATTTTATGTTACATATTGGATTTTTATAATTATTTTATCCAGCAGAACATAAGGGTAATATTGTCAATTTTTTATCATTCACCAGAGTCAGTCCGATAAATAATCAAATAGATAAACTCAGTTAGATGTTGACTTAGTTAGAACTTCTAACTCAGTCAGCTTCTAACTCAATAAGCTCTAACTTAGTTAACAACTATCAAACGACCCCTAACTCTTGCTTCACTATTTCCATTGCCCTTCGGATTGCCTTAATTGATTTTTTTCTCCTGTTGCTCCCACATTCATCAGATGATGACTCATATAAGAATACCGCATTGTTTACAACCTCAATATCATCAATTTCCCTTGTTATCATTTCCTTGACATTTGACCCTCCAAGATCACCCACCCACTCTATATCTTCATCAATATTTAACTAAAACTCATTCATGTCTATCTCAGGTTCATCTAGGAGGTTATCTAAGTCTACTAAGAAACTCACTATCATCACTATCACCACTATCACCACTATCATTAACATCATTTCTATTGTCACTTTCATGAGTAATCCCTCCAGGTTCTTCATTTAGAATTTGATCAAATTCATCAAATATACCTTGTGTTTCACATTAGGCATCAATTTGGTCACTTTCAGTTTATTTAGTTGGCACAACATTTGGTTTACTTGATCCAATATAATCCCCTGTTTCAGTTTCCCTCCATTCCAAAAATAGCCTTCTACTACATGAAGGTTGATCAACGATTTCTTCAATCCTAACTTTACAAGGGGTAGATGACATTGTATATGTATGCAACACTGTTTTACCATGTTCAACATAAACTTCAATCAGTTTATGTTTACCTACGTATGTACCCAAATGGTTAATGTCACTATCACTAGCCAATGTAAACAACCCAAAGTCCAAATCTGAAAAGGGTCTTTTGAAGTGGTAATAAAGCAAATTACCCTCCTCAACACAACCTAGGGTCTCCATCATCTCATCAATATCGTGTACTCAAAACTCATCAATGTCCAATAGATCAACGTATCTTTCTTTTCCCTTGACGTACCTCCTTCCAGGAAACTTCATAAACTCTCCACCATAGAATAATCTAATAGAGAAGATAGTTGGATTACCAGCTGTAAAAGAGAAAGCTTCAACTTATTAGCTTGAAATTTGTAAGTGATAAATTTAACTTTTGAAAATAGGGGTTACCATAATGTTTTTCAACGTCTATTTCTTCCATGTTTGCTCTAATCCTCCAACCCACCATTGTTACTTTGATGATTCTTGCAAATTTTTGAGGAGTTAGGGTTTCCACCCGATTTTGATGAGTTACAGATTAAGTGAGAGAGAGTGTGTGTGTGTGTGAGAGAGAGGGAGGTGATCGTAAAATGATCGGAATGAAGAAACGATTGGCATTGCATTTAGGCACCATGTATAAAATGACGAAAATACCCCTCATGTGAGAAGCACGTGGGGGGACTTAACGTTGGGAATTGACAACTAACGGACCCAGGGACCAGGCGGGTAATAAAAATAAAACGTGGGGATGGTCCTAGTGCAAAACAAAACATAGGGACCAAACGCGCAACTTTAGCCAAACCACAAGGACTATTTCAATAATTTGTTCTTTTACATTAAATAAAGTTATACAAATTAATTTAAAATCATTTAACCTTTAAATGATGTAACTAACACACTTCAGTTAATTCATACCATATGAGTTAATATACAATATTAATTTTCACAAAGTAACAGATGCAAGAGTTATGATATTTTACTATGAATCATCCTCTCTAATAAATAAAGATCTTTTTACCACATGTTACATTTTCATTTATTTTGACATATGTAATTTTATGGTTATTTTAAATTAATTTTTATTTCACATGTCATTTTATGGTTTTTTCATTTTATGAAAATTTTAGAGTGTTTAAATGCAATAATAAATGCATATTAATTTCATTAATGAATCTTTCTTCTAATTTCAAAATTACTAGATTAAATATTTATAAATTTTATTTATTTATTTATCTAAATTATATGTTTAAGTTTAAAAGAAAAAAAAAACACTTTAATTTTTATAATTCAATATTTTCTCACTTTTCTTATAAATTTATACTTCTCAAATGTTTAGAATTTTATATATATATATATATATATATATATATATATATATATATATATATATATATATATATTTAATTATAAATGAACTCATGTAATATATGGGTCTCACATATAATATTTATTAAATAAAATATCAATTGGTGTTTGTTTGCTATTGTGTAACCCTATAAGATCATATGTTATTATCGATATTATTTTATGATTATTTATGACCATATATAACCAAAAATATCAAATAAATTTTCGAACAATTAGCAAGTCGACTTGGCAAACATGTTGAATCGCATCTAGTTTTTACATCTCGTCTAAGCATAGTACAACTTGATTATAGCACACAGTTGAAATGTTGTTTTCAAGGCTTCTGTAAATCGTGGTTTGTCGTAGTGGTGAAAATAGCAATGCTTCTTGGATCATGAACCCTCCGCATAAAGTTATTAGTTTTGAATAGCACACAATTGAAACTTTGCTCCGGGTCGAAAAGTTATTTAAGCGTCTTGCATTTCATGAACCCTCCGCATAATTTTTCAATATGGTGTTTCAGGTAGGGTCAAATAACTTACATTTCTCTCTCTCTCTCTCTCTCTCTCTCTCTCATATGTCATAGAAACGGAAGTGGGCTAAATAACCAGGTTTTTAGTTTTGAATATGCTCAGCAATAGCCACGACATCAACATCGGTATAGTTTTTTGCTCCAAAACCAACGCATGCTTGTGAGTATGTGATTGGAAATTGAAGAAAGAAGTGAGGGATTGAGAAAACAAGATTTCATAAATAATCTCGATTTTAAGTGGTGTGGTGAAACAATACAATCAAGGCCTATCTATATCAAGTCTAGATGGACAAAATTATTATTTTGGGGTTTCAAACCCTTTGAAACATCCATATAAAGTGACGTTATTTTAAACCTTGATGGCATGGATTATAGTATGCAACAAAGGACTTAGATTAATTAACAGAAAACCGATCCTCTATCTTTCCTCATTTATAAAAAGGCAAATTAAAAAACCTATCAACATCCTTATATTTTGACACCCTTCTTTTACCGACAACAGCAACAATACATAATTTTTTACCCATAACAAAAACATATTTCCATTTTTTCTCTTCCTGAGAAATTAAATATTCTCCTAGTTTCTACTTTTCCTCCTACCATATCAAATGTTGACATGTGTCACATTTAATTAGACATTTAATGAAATTAATAATCATTTAATCCACTTGTCAACATTTGAGTAGGAACAAATGGTAGGAGGATATTTATCCTCCTACCTTTTGTTCCTACTTTTCCTCCTACCATATCAAATGTTGACATGTGTCACATTTAATTAGACATTTAATGAAATTAATAATCATTTAATCCACTTGTCAACATTTGATATAGTAGGAGGAAAAGTAGGAACAAATGGTAGGAGGATATTTAATTTCTCTTCCTATTATCGATAAAAAATGTATAGATGCTTTGATGATACAATTAGTTTGTTGTACGCACATTGCTATTTATGTATTAAGAAATGTAACGCAAGTATATTGCTATAGTGGGTTACATATCGCTGAAATTATGGTGAAAAAACATATACATCTTGCTACTATAATTAAAAAAAATATGGTGATTAAGATACGTTTTGCACAAAATAGTAATTACTTGCAAATATATGCAATGAAAATTATACTTTTTTGTAAGTTGGACAATTTCTAGTCCAAAAAGAGAAAGGAAAAATAGGATAATTAAGTACACTACTGTACAATGGCTTACATAACAAACCATTTTAGATACCACAGTAAATAATAAATTACGAGTTTTAGTTTAATGATGGCCCCGCCTAAGTAGCGATAGGAATCGACCCGATCCCTTTTCTGTCCGCCTGTCCTCCGCATTTTCAACCTAGAATATGGAACCAATGTTTAATTTTTTTCATCATTATTATATAGTAATATTTCAGTGTCTAATTAAATTGATAAAATTGTCAAAGGACGTGTTTTTCTATGTCATGCATGAAGTAAAATATATAAGTTGCGTACTTCAATAGTTATTTTCTTGAGAATATCTATGATCTCAGTGAAGTCTGGTCTTAAAGCTGGGTCCTTTTGCCAGCATTTCCCTAGCAATTCTGCGAGCTTTGGTTGAGTGTTCTTGGGTATAGTAGGCCTTAAGCCCTGAAAAGTTGGAACATATATGTTAATAAAAATGGAAATTTATAAGGTTGAACAGTGTAATGATTTATGTTTTACCTTTTGAACTACTCCAATAGCTGCCTGGACTGGGGTCAAGAACTCGTATGGAAGCTGGAAAAATAAATATACAAAACACATGAATATCAATGTACATAAAAATATACCAAAAGTGAAAAAAAAAAAAAAAAAAAAATACCTTTCCTGTGAGCAACTCCCACAAAACAACCCCAAAACTGAAAACATCTGCCTTGAGATCATACGGCTTGTGTTCAATAACCTTCATTGTAAAAAAAGTTATCACGAAAAAAAACTCATCATCAAACTTCCAACCAAACATACTACGTTTGACATGTACTGGATCAGTCAATAGGACAAAATAGTAATTTGTCCCACCCAAAAAGGTAAGACTGTCTCACTTTTTTGGGTAGTACAAAAAGTTGTAACGTTTGTCCCATTGATATCTGTCTGTGTCAGTATCAGTTTCAGTACAGTGCATGTTAAATACAGTACAAGGCCTAACAAACTAAGAATCGTAAAGAAAGATTGATAGAAATGAAGCACCTCGGGAGCCATCCATCTATATGTCCCGGTTTCTGCTGTCATGACACCTGTCTGAGCCTTCACTCTTGCGACTCCAAAATCAGCCACCTTAACAACCTGATTACAAAATATCAGTAAAGAATATTGAATGATTTAAAAAAAAAAAAATATATATATATATACTATATGGAATGCAAAAGGAGATGATTACATCATTTTCATCCATGAGAAGATTTGCACACTTGAGGTCCCTGTGTATAATATTGTTTTGATGCAGGTAGTTCATCCCCCTTGATATATCAATTGCAACTTTGAGTAATATTGGAAGCTTAAATGTACCCTTTTGTTTGTGCAAATAATCATACACACTTCCCCCACTCATGAATTCTGTACAAATTTATACAGTTAATAAAAATCTACCCATGAATAAATAACATGGAGAAAAATCAAAATCAATTGAAAATTACCTGTTACAATGCACAAGCTTGATGGTTTAGTACATGCTCCAATGAACTGCACAACATTCTTATGTCGGATTTTCCTGCATATAGTAATTAATTAAACGCATATTTCTAAAAATTTTATAACGATAAAATTCGGATAAAATAACATGCATAAATATTTAAACTCAATTTGTTACTCATGACATGACATAACAGGTTGTACTGAGTTTGCCTCTGATGTCATTCAGACAAAAGCTGCAACTTTTTGTCTGACCCTAAAATGTAGGATAGGGACTAGCTTTCAATCTCTTGTTTGTGAAATTGACGTAAATGCCCTCCTTATGCGAATTGATGACAAACCTCATGATATAAACTTCTTGGGCAAATTCTTGTTGCATATCTGTGTCTATACGCTCAGCCTTAAGCATCTTTATAGCTACCTCTTGACTACGATATGTACCTTTATATCTAAATTATTAACACATATAAAATGTCAGCATTTAAAAGCAATAGAGAATGTGTAATAAATTAATAACCCCTTCATCCCAAAATAAATGAAGGTTCTAGATACTAAACATGTAAGAGTTAGGATATTCCTTTACATATGCAAATCACCATTGATAATTATTTGTTAAGTATTTGACATATTTTGTTATCATATGTTTAATAAACCTTCTAGGCTTCCCCTATTGTTTACATATTCTAGAA